GGCAAAGGGTGTTACCAGTTCTTTTCCGGGCAGTATCTGCACGTCCTGCTGAAGTTGTCAGGTACAATGCTAAGAGAGCCGATGGGAGTCACTTGGTTGTACTTATGAGGTGTATAGAACCTTTTGCGCGCTATAGCCAGGGAAACGAAATGGCGCTTGTGTACTGGGGACATTGCTTGGAGCAGTGTACCGTGCAGATAGGCGCCAGCCTGGAGCCTTCGCCAAGCCACTGCTTGCTCTCTAGCCAGCCATTTGTGAGGAGGTGCACGGTAAGCGGCACCGTTGCTTTTTTTTTTAGTTCACCGGTATTTTTGAATAATTTCTCGGTATTCGCTGTTCTGCGTCACCAGAGTCAGAACATCACCGCGGAGTGGCGCTTTGGGTGTGCTTTGGTGTCTATACGACAACGTTAATCAGGAAATTTTGTGGGATATATTGAAAGGAATGGGCATGGGCGACGACTGTATACAGCTTTTGAGGGAGATATACCGAGAAAATACAGTTTGCATAGAGTGGGAAGGAATGCGTAGCGAAGAGAACGTTGAGGTTAGCAGGGGTCTGAGACAGGGTTGTCCTTTGTCCCCGCTGTTATTCATGCTGTACATGGTGAGTATGGAAAAAGCGCTAGAAGGTAGCAACATTGGTTTTAATCTGTCACACAAACAGGGCGGCATGATGATTGAGCAGAAGCTTCCAGGTTTATTTTATGCGGACGATATCGTCTTATTTGCGGACAGTCGAGATGATATACAGCAGCTGGCGAATATATGCGGAAGGGAAGGTGAAGCTCTTGGACTAGGATTCAGTGTAACGAAGTGTGGATTGATGGTATTCAATGATCCCTGTGATCAGACGGTGTCCATACAAGGCCAAGAAATACCGAGGGTAAGTGAATACAAGTACCTTGGAGTATGGGTAAATGAGAGTGATAGATACATGGAGGTACAGGAAAAAGCCTCGGCAGCAAAAGGAAAGAGGAATGCGGCAATAATGAAGCACAGAGCGTTGTGGGGATACAATAGGTATGAGGTGCTTCGAGGTCTGTGGAAGGGTGTAATGGTTCCAGGGCTTACTTTTGGGAACTCAGTGGTGTGCATGAGGGCAGAGGTGCAAGCGGGAATGGATGTAAATCAAAGGACTGTGGGACGCCTCGCGTTGGGTGCTCACGGGAAGACGACAACGAGGCTGTAAAGGGCGATATGGGGTGGGCAGGTTTTGAGGCGAGGGAAGCGCAGAGCAAAATAAGGTTCGAAGAAAGGCTAAGAAATATGAAGGAGAGTAGATGGGCAGAGAAGGTGTTCCGTTATTTGTATAGGAAGAGCGTGGACACACAGTGGAGAAAAAGAACTAGAAGACTCACTAGTAAGTATACGGCTGGTATTGTAAGCCGTATGTCAACAAAGAGCGTTAAGGCAAAAGTCAGGGAGGCGGAGAGGATTTACTGGATGGCAGCTATGGAGAAAAAAACCGGCTTTGAGTAACTACCGAAAGGGCAAAAATGAAATAAGGAGGGAGGCATTTTACGATAATTCAAGGGGAAGCGCTTTACTGTTTGAAGCGAGATCGGGTTGCCTTAGAACGCGTAGTTATAAAGCAAGATTCAGTAAAGAAGAAGAACAATGCACATGCTGCGGGAAAGATAAGGAAACGGCGGAGCATGTTCTGATTGAATGTGGAGATATCCACCCAGGTGTACGTTTGGGCACGAGCCTACAGGAAGCCTTGGGTTTTAGGGACAACAATGGAATGCTGAACACACCCGCGATTGAAATAAGTAAGAGACGGTTAGAGTATTGGTGGCAGAAAATTAGAGAGAAAGGACAAAAATAAATATTGGAAAAATAAAATATGGACAGTGTGCCGTAAATGGCAGAGAACTTAAGCTGAAAATTTACCTTTTTTTCCATTAAGATAGAATTTATCGAAGTAGAGGCATTAGGCCAACATAAAAAGAAAAAAAAAGGGTTTTTTTTTTTGTCGAGCCTGGTGGCATACTTGTCACCACCCCGTTATAAAGGGGACGCTCATAGCATCCATCCATCCATCGGTGTTGCGGCACAAAGAAAATTGTGAACGAAGTGTAAAAGGAAGAGCATTTTGTCATTGCGCAGTCTAGGGACCAAGCGGGTCCGGAAAGTCGAAGAAAAATCAAGTAAGAACAGCGATTATAGATTTTTATTGACGACAACAACGCATATGGGCGTGTAATGAAGAAGCAACTTTATATATGCTGGTCATGTACTAAAAGGCTGCGCAGAACATGCATGCGGAAAGCCACACAAAAATATGTCGCCTGTGCAAAGGGCGATAAATTTGACAAAGTCAGTGTTTCCGCTGTGTGCATTCCCAACGCTGTTTTAGAAGAAGACAGAGAGGGGCCACTGGAAGCAATCTTGTATCGGCGCGCACACGGGGCAACCGGCCGCCGGATCGTAGCAGTCCGTTGGACAAGGAAGACAAGGCGGACAGACGCAGATCTCGCATCCTGCAGTGTCGTAGCCGGCAACGCAGGTGGCGTCGCAGTAGTCCACCGGGATGCACAGCCCTGCGAACAATCAATGAACAGAGTTGCGCATTAGATTAGTTTGCTTCATTGGGATTGGTTGCTGCGGAGGGACAGCAGCCTTGGTCAGGCTGATTGCAGCGAGCTCTATAGTGCTTACTGTAATGAAGTGCTTTCACTCATTTTGTGGTTGGAACGTAAGCGTATATGTAGGCACAAAATTAATGAGAACTAACAGACATTGTCAAGAAAAGTACAGGAGATGTTATTAGTGTAATTGGGGAGAAAGAAAAACGCCATGCCTGCGCGGAAGGCGCAGCACAGGCACAGCGAAAGCTAAAAGAGCGGCCTTTCAGAGCCTTTTCATTTTCTCATTGGGGAACTACGGCAGTTGCTTGATACCCACTAGTGCATTAAAAATAAACTTTTGCGTTGTAGGTCGGCATTCGCTATTCTATTTCTCGTCATTCTTTTGAGAAGGCTGGTATGCGATGAACAGTTGCAAGAAATTTCGTGCCAATAGTTCATGCAGTGACCGACGACGATGAGGAATTATGGCTGAACTGGATAGGCGCCATAGTTAACAAGGACAGACTTTTGTAATGGGTAGGGCACAATTCGCATTGTACAACGACTGGCTATTTTAAAACTCATTAACGCGATTCCTTTCCGGACATCAAGCCTGCCTATTAAGGCAAGTCTGCCAACAAGTCAAAAGCACCAGCGTAGCTTAGTGGCGGAATACTGGGCCGGCACCCAGTAGACCCGGGTATCTAGCCCCACCGTGTCTTTGGTGCAAGTTTTTTTTTTAATTTCGCGCGATGTGGTTACGGACACCAGCGGCGGACACCTGCGCGTGACCCGAATTGTGATCTCGTAACAACTTGCGCTGTTAAAAGCGGAAGACCGAACAAACGCATTCGATGCTTTACTGACCGAGATAAGACGTGGGAGTTTTACTTCCAACTGCTTTATTGGGTACATATTTGAACTTAAACGTGGGAGCACGAGAGCAGATAGCGAGAGCAACGGCGGTATAGTTGCATGCATGGCTTTCACGTGAAAAAAAAAAAAATCTAACGTCTCTTATATAGCGGCTTGACCAGTGACGCTCAGCCAACAATAAAACCTGGGGTTTTACGTGTCCAAGCACAATACGGTGACGAGGCACGCCAAGATGGCGGAATTTGAAAATCAGGACCACTTAGCGTTTGTTAATGTGCACAGACATCGCACGGTGCCTCTATCGGTGCGGGTCCCGGCTTCGGCGGCTGCATTTTTCGATGGAAGCGAAAATGCTGTCCGCCCGTGTGCTCAGATTTGGGCGCATGTTAAAGAACCCCAGATGGTCGGGGTTTCCGGAGCCCTCCACTACGGTGTCCGTTGATCCCATGGTGGTGGTTTTGGGACGTTGAACCCCACGGTATATCATTATCGAAGTGCGCGGCCGACTCATCCAAGCCGCGGCCTTTCGGATCAACAGCCGAGCACTGTAATCGCACACCGCGATAAGCGTTATGTGCTACGTTCATGCAGCAGATACGCTCCGAAATATGTGAGGGTGTGGTGCGGTATCTGTTGGTAAACGAAGTGGCGATCCGTATGCACGATGTCGCCGCTGTATTTTCGAGCTTTGATGGAACTATGACGTGAAAAATTGATCGGAAGGACACCATAGTGCAGAAGTGCCAGCCCCCAAGAGCAAGCGAAGTCAATCCATAACGCCTCCAGCCTCCCTGTCCCCCTGAAAGCACTCGCTTGTCGAAAGTGCTTAATAGAAAAATCAAGCCGCAGTAGAGTAGTTGACTCGGCATGTTGTCAGGGGCGGCGCCAGGATGTTTTTACTGGGGGGGGGGGGGGGGCAACCACGGAAAGCGAGTTCCTCCGGGGGGGGGGCAAGCTAGCTCTGCTCCTACTAGGTTTTCAATATATGCTTCCGGGCACTTGGGTGGGCATAGGGGGGGCAGGCGAGAATTTTGGGGGGGGGGGCTCCAGCCCACCCTTGCCCCCCCCCCCTTGGCGCCGCCCCTGCATGTTGTGTGCAATCAAAGGGCCCACCGAAAAATAGCTGCCGGGTGGGACATGCGTCTGCAATTAGTGTATGTGCAGCAGCCACCGGTGTCACGCAACGCTTATTCAAATAGGCGTCACTACAGACAACGCTCTTCGGTGCACAAATCGGGCAAAAAGGCTAATGCGACACCCGCCAACGCTCCTGGTCGCAAGAGCGCACATTAAAAGAGACCTAGGCAGTGCGAATGACAAACCAACACTCTTGAATGTATGGGCACCTGTTATAGGAATGCATACATTCGAAAAAGCATTTTGAAATTGCGTTTCATTTTTCTAATGATACTTACGCGCATTTATACCTCGGCATGTCTTTCGAGCATTGTTGCATTTTCCTTCACACTCATTGAGCGGTGTGGCACTAACCAGAAAAAGTATGGTAGAAGTTGACTAACCTGGAAAAGCACCAGCTCTCCATACCATCGACATGGCGACAGTCAGTGAAAACAGCAGGCCGACCCTCATGGTTGCTGCGCTTTTTGCCAGCATGGGGGCTGTCTGCAGCAACTCGCTTGAATGCGCATACGAGGGCTGACGTTGTCCGTTTATATAGCCAAGTCAGATGCGCATGCGCTCTTAAGTAAACACAATTTCTAAATTTCTCTCTATAGCTATACACGTGACGTATGACACATATATGAAATGTAATCTTTGTCAGGTGCGAAAAAAGTAAGCTACCACGTGCAAAACATCGCATGTAAGAAGAATTTCAGCGCCTATATATACTGTGTTTTTCTCTTTTTTTCTGGTGGGGGGGGGGAGGGTTTGTTTTGTCGAGTATGCAGATGTGTATTCTAAAACACAGGCTGTGCAAACACATGCACAGAAAAAAGTCACGAGACCACAATTCTGTTATGCTAATGCAACATGCGAAAAAAATTGAGCACAGCAATGATCAAAAGTGGGGCTGGCTTACAGGCGCAACTGGTAAAAGGGGTGTAACTTTTCTGCAAGTTTTTAGCATTGGCGTGCACATGAGTGGGACAGGGGGTGTGCCCCCTTGCCCTTAATCTCCTCACCTATAGGAGGGTGGGGGGAGGGGTGAAATGTTTGTTCCACAACTTTATTCAGTTACGGCCACGCAGGTTTTAGACATCGATGTCGGCCGAAAACTTGTAATCTTGCATTCCAAGAACTGCTTACTATTCTTACTTTAGGAAAGCCCGAGCAGGTTGTTCTGAGAAGCGTATCATCACTTTATTTCACTTTCTACCATGATCCATGTTAATCTGTGCTTCGTACTCGATGAAAGGGGGTGGCTGCGATAAGAACCACCCTGATGGAAAACCTTGCGCACGCCTATGAATAGCTGTCGACTCCCTGGGATGGCAACTTTGCACGTAATGTAGTGGCAAAAACTTATTTTGAAATGTAAGTTTCGGTAAACTATGAGGGTACTTTACGTAAACTTATGAAGCGTGAGTGTGAACTGTCATGTGGATATAGTGTGAACGATGTCGGATAGTTTGACAGAGCGTTTTATCATGAAATTTGCGTGGTCAAGATACAACACCTTCTCAGCTTCTGAATTTATGCTCTAATCGAGGGCTGGTATGGATTTGGCTGAAAGGGATGATGATCGTTTAGAGCATGACACGTGCCCACAGGCACTCGTGTTTTGCCCGCTATGGATTCCTCGCACGCTACGTGTGCACGCGCATCGGCGGCTAAAAATCGAAAAGAAAGAAAAAGAAACCCGCGAGCGGGAGCGTGGACCGCAGCGAATCAAACGGTGCCCTGTAGAGTAACGAAATGGCCGTTTCGTCGTTCTGGTGTCTTCTCTTGCTGGCGGTCGTCCTTGTGGCCGACGTTCGGGGACAAGTCCACTACCGCTACGTCACGTGTGGCTCCCTGGTCAAGCTGCTGAACCGTCGCTGGGACGTGCGTCTGCATTCGCACGAGGTCCGCTACTCGGGCGGCAGCGGCCAGCAGTCGGTCACGGCCACCGAGAAGCCGGACGACATCAACAGTCACTGGGTGGTCAAGGGACAGTCGACACGAGCTGCTCGCGGGGCGAACCCGTGAAGTGCGGCGCCATAGTGCGACTCGAGCACCTGAAGACGCGCCGGAACCTGCACAGCCACCACTTCCCGTCGCCGCTGTCCAGCAAGCAGGAGATCAGCGCACACGGCGAGAATGGTCAGGGCAACTCGGGAGACTTCTGGAGGGTCGTCTGCAAGACGGGCTACTGGGAACGCGACGGCGACGTCAGGCTCAAGCATGCGGACACCGAGGCCTGGCTCTCGGTCTCGGGAAAGTCTTACGGCCAGCAGTTGGGCGGCCAGCTGGAGGTGTGCGGAGAGTTGGCGCCCTACGACGAGTCGTGCGTGTGGAGGACAGCCGAGGGAGTCTTCATGAAGCCCAGCGAAGGACGCCTACACATCGTCAAACACACGGAACTCTGAACGCACTGGCGGGTTCTTTGTCGTGAAGGCAGTATGTGCATTAAAGCTGTCTTTCTTTTTCTTTCTCGTAAATCGGCGTTTATTTCTGTGTCGCTCGTGCCTACTGAACGCAAGTGTCAGACGCGCCCAATAGGCAAGGAAAAAAAAAGGGGGGGGGGGGGGGGGGCAGGGGGTTATAGCGTGTCATTTAAACTATAGATATATTAGAACGCATATCAGGAGGATTCAACTTAAGGCACCGTGCGCTGATCAGAGGGAGCTGCGTTGCTGGCACCAGCTCATCCTAAGTCTGCTGACGTTGGCCGTTAGGGGCACGCAGAAAACAGACGCGCGCACGCGTCATCGCGTATCGCTGCTGCAAACCGACCGCTCACGGCGGGAAGACGCGGGCATCACTTCCATTTTGACTGACCCCATCCCATTATTGCGTTTTTTCTCCGCTAGGCACTGCATTCTGACACTGCAGTCTTACGGGAAAACTTGACTGTGAGGTGCCATGCAGAAGACGTGGGAATTACGGGGGCTCCAAGTGAGCAGTGAACCTTTCGGCCCAGGCAGCAATCACCCGCTGCTTTTTCTTAACGGCTGTTTTAATAAGCTCGTTCCCACGCTGACCGCGGACGAGCTGGTTTTGAGGGATCAAATCCTCCGCAGCCCCACAATATGTGATTTTGACTGGTCGATTCTTGCGCGTTACTATTCTGGCATATTGGGTTAACCAATCCGCAAGTAATAAATGCCAGTTGGGGAGGATGAGGGAACGAGCAAGTACGAAAGCGGCGGGGGATCGTGGTCTGCGCTTTTGTGAGGTTTTCATCTGGCGAAGGGGAGGGGAGTGTCAGTCGGCCCTGCTAAGGAAACATCGTCATCGAACTTCAAGTAAGTATGAAGTCATTCTTATTAACGCAACAGTGTTAATAATAGCTTTTTTTGCAGAAATTATGGTGTCGGCATCATTTTTTGTGAGCGAAAAAAAATATTTTCTGTGAAAGAAAAAAGCAATATAAAATACTTGGTTCTAGTGAGGATCTAACCCAGGCCGTCATCGGAAAGCTTAATTGTGCTCTACCATGTGCTTTAGTTACTAATAATATTGTTACCACATGTGTAATTTAGGTATGTGCACCTGTGTAGCGGGGAACATGGTGGTAGGAGAAGAAGAGGTCGTTCGGTTGGTGGCAAGAGCTCGCTGCTGCGCGTTCACTGCGGTATACCGTCGAGTCGACCGTTACGTCTGCTTCGAATAAACCCCTCGTAGACGTAACAGAGTGGTGGAGGTGCGGGGTACGACACGTCGACGTACCACGGAGCCACAGCTGTTCGGAGTTCGCCGGAGCCGTCGTCTTGCTGGTCTGCCGCCGACAACAGTCGTCATGGCCCAGAGCGAAGGTCAGGAATCAACCGCCTCCACTTCGCGCCAATCTACACTGGCTACACCTAGGCATCACTACATGGAACCCCGCCCGTTCGCGGGAATGGCAGGAGAAGATGTGGACGCGTGGCTAACGCACTACAAAAGAGTGAGCCGGTACAACCACTGGAACTCTATCGATCAGCTGGAAAACGTCGCGCTGTTTCTCACGGACACTGCCCTGATGTGGTATGAAAACCACGAAGAGTCCTTGACAACATGGGCTCTTTTTGCTCAAGAACTCAAGAAGTGTTTTGGTGACTCCGACTCAAAAAAGAAAAGCGTGGAGCGGACTCTTGCTGGAAGAGCCCAGACTCCTGGAGAAACCTGCACTGCTTATATAGAGGACGTTCTTAAGCTTTGCAAGATTATAAACCCGCAGATGTCTGAAGAAGACAGGGTCGGACACCTATTGAAAGGGGTGCCCCGCCGCGGTGGTCTAGTGGCTAAGGTACTCGGCTGCTGACCCGCAGGGCGCGGGTTCGAATTCCGGCTGCGGCGGCTGCATTTCCGATGGAGGCGGAAATGTTGTAGGCCCGTGTGCTCAGATTTGGGTGCACGTTAAAGAACCCCAGGTGGTCTAAATTTCCGGAGCCCTCCACTACGGCGTCTCTCATAATCATATAGTGGTTTTGGGACGTTAAACCCCACATATCAATCACCTATTGAAAGGCATAGCGGAAGGCGTTTACAGTTTTCTGATAGGCAGGGATGACCTCACCTTTGCCTCCGACGTCCAACATCACTGCCGCACGTTTGAAAAATTGAAGACTCGTCGCATCGCCCCGAAATTTGGTAGGCTGGCAAATGTGACAACGGTTGCCAGCGTCGACGTGAGCCCGCCCACCAACCTTGTTGCTATTATTCGGGCAATTGTGCGTGAAGAGCTGCAGCGACAAGGTGGTAGGGTTGACGAAACCATTCCTCATCCACCTACCAATTCACCCTACTACACGGCGGCACCATCAGCTCCTTTGCCACCATCGGTATGTGTGGCAGACATCAGCGAAACTGGAAATCCGCGGCCACGTCGTGACTCATTCGCGTCCGACCAGCGATATGGCCAACGCCTTCGGCACGGCCCCGCCACACAGAGGTGGGCAGCCCCCGCTCAGCAAGCTCGTCACCGGCCCTTCACAGCTGAGCGGTCTCAGCATTGGTTCGGCGAGCGTCCTCTACCAGTCTGCTACAACTGTGTCTTCGAAGAACACATTGCCAGGTATTGCAACTACCGGCAGCCGCCAAGATACGACCGATCACCGAGATTTAACCGTTCTGGCGTTACCCGAGCACCGACATTCCCGGGAAGCGCGTCTTACGAGATCCCAGGACCGCTACGAAACCAATCTCCGGCCTCTGACCGCAGTGAGACACCACCACCTGCCCCTCGCGCCAACCGATCACCGTCTCCTCGGCGCCGCCACGGAAAACTAGCTGGCGCGGCCGTTGGAGGTGAGGTCGCCGGACAGTCTTCGATTTCAACAGATATACCTCCGTTAGCTTCCATGCTTAGAAATAAGGTTCGAGTGCTTATCGATGGTGTACCAACAATGGCGTTGGTGGACACAGGAGCAACCGTGTCAGTGATGAGTTTAGTTTTCACCCGCCTTCTTGGACGAAAGGATATGTTTCGTTGGGACCGTCCTGATACGTTTCGTGGAGTGAGCGGAGAGGTGTTACAACCTGTTGGTGTCTGCACTGTGACTGTTAGTTTGGCGTGCCAGAACTTTGACGCAGAGTTTGCTGTTCTCCCTCATACTACGCATGACGTCATTCTGGGACTCGATTTCTTGAAGCTATGTGGTGCTACTGTCGATTGCCGCACAGGACAAATTACAGTAGATTCTAATATCCCAATTTCGTTTATGGAAAACTCGCCCTCTCAAGAAAGTGCTCTTTGCGTTTCTGTGGACACAACTGTGCCGCCGTTGTCTGCAAAATGTGTCCCTGTTGTCTGTTCACATGCAAGCGAGAAAACATTTGACGCAACTGTGGAGCCCGTGCATCTCAGTTGCATAAAGAAGACAGTTTTAATACCCTACTGTACACTATCGATTGCGCAAGGGCATACTAGTTTATGGGTGATGAACTGCTCTAATGAACCTACAGTGCTGCCGAAGGGTCTGAAACTTGCAGAGATTCGTGAACACCAAGTATTCTCACTTGCCACCCTCGCAGAAAGCAATGATTCCCCGGATAAGACCCGTTGCAATAATCTGCACGCCAGGGACACCACCATTATGGCTATGATTGATAAGTCACTCAGCACCAAGGAACGTAATGAACTGGCGAGTATTCTGCGCAAACATGATGGTATTTTTGATTTCGCTTAGCATGATTCACCGTCATTCCCTGCTTCTCGTACAAAGCACCGAATCGACACAACATCTCACAGACCTCTCCGACAGAAACCATATCGTGTATCGCCTTCGGAACGCCTAGTGATCAATGAACAGGTTTGCGAGATGCTCAAGCAAAATGTAATTCAAGAATCATGTAGCCCGTGGGCCGCTCCAGTAATTCTAGTGAAGAAGAAGGATGGGACATGGCGATTTTGTGTTGACTACCGCCGTTTCAACGCCATCACTAAAAAAGACGTATACCCACTCCCGCGGATTGATGATGCTATCGACTGTCTATCATCGGCCTCTTACTTTTCGTCTGTGGATCTGAGGTCAGGCTACTGGCAGATTCCAATGCACGAGGAAGACAAGGAGAAAACGGCATTTGTTACAGCAGATGGACTATTTGAATTCAATGTGACGCCGTTCGGACTCTGCAACGCGCCCGCAACCTTTGAGCGATTTATGGACAACATTCTGCGTGGATTTAAGTGGGAAGTGTGTATGTGTTACACGGACGACGTTGTAATTTTTGGGCGCACCTTTTGTGAGCACAACACACGCCTTGGCCTCGTAATGGACTGCCTAAGCAAAGCACCAGGGGCGGCGCCAGGATGTTTTTACTGGGGGGGCAACCACGAAAAGTGAGTTCCTCCGGGGGGGCAAGCTAGCTCTGCTCCTACTAGGTTTTCAATATATGCATCCGGACACTTGGGTGGGCATAGGGGGGGCAGGCGAGAATTTTGGGGGGGCTCCAGCCCACCCTTGCCCCCCCCCCCCCCCTGGCGCCACCCCTGCAAAGCACGCTTGGTGCTCAACTCAAAGAAATGTCGTTTTGGAGAGCGCCAAACACTCGTCCTTGGACACTTAGTAAACAAAGAAGGCATACGATCGGATCCCGCCAAGACGGCCGCGGTGGAGGCATTTAAGCAGCCAAACTCGGTGAAAGAACTGCGCAGGTTTTTGGGGCTTTGTTCATACTTTCACCGATTCATTCCTGGCTTTGCCAATATCGCATACCCGCTCACGTGTCTACTTCAGAAAGGTGCGCAATTTGACTGGACCCTGGAATGCGAGTCTGCTTTTTCGGAGTATATTTGTTATTGAAATTGTATATTTGTTATTGAAATAGATACTCTGCTTATATCAGGGGAATTCAACAGGGAAGTTAAACTTTTTCAAACAAAGCAGTGAAGTCGGTCATTTTTTCTGGCCCTTGGGAGGCCCCTTAAAACCGGAGGGCGTGGTTCATTTGAACAATTTGAACCCTGGATAATCCACCCCTTATTGTCCTCACCATAATTTATAACTTAAGTAATACTTCTTTCCAGTAGTAGGTCTCGGTAACGATGGCACTGAAGTTTACGGTCGTTGAATACCAGAATATGTGGGTTTTAGAATGTTATGTGCAGAAACTTCCTTTTTAAAGGGAAATTTTGTGTGATGATTCATTACCTCATGCAGGCAGCACACCAATATTAGATCGTTCTTGTCCTAACGTCGGCGAATGTTGTCAGCAGCATTGGTCCGATGGTCCAACATTGGCTCAACATGGGGCACGGCGACGGAGGTGGGCACGGCTTATCACCATTGGTTAAAAGTATGGGATTAAACATGAAAGTTCAGAAAGAAATGGAGGGTTCCCGAGTATATGCCTCTGTTGATGCGTACGTGAATGTGCGAGTTGCGGCTTGTTACTTTGTTATATATCATGGTGGCGCCTTGTAGTTATCATAAAAATGTGAATATTTAGGGTTTTGGTGCTTGTAAACAAACTGGCTCGTGCCGAACGGCCTACCCCAGCAGACTTCCGGTGTGGCACTTCCGGCAATGCTTTTTCAATGGTTCCGGCGGTGTTTTCGTGGTGTGTTTGAGCTTGCTGCTCTATTATTTGTGGCGCATTCCTTAGAATGTGTTTCTAGCAACGTCTAGCGGCTACATGAAGGGGCTCGACGTAGCGCACGGCAGGTACAGGCGCGGCCACTGCTGCAGGTATAACGCGGCTCGCGTTGCACCCGGGCGCCGCGCAAAATATTCGTCGTGGCGTTCCAATGAGCGCGCGGACCCCCGGCTCCGTTTTACGTCTGATAATGGTCGCGCCTACACAAACAGAAAATGCATAAATTTCAGGAGAAATTCGTCAGCGAACTTAATTTGGCCAGTTGGTTGTGCATGCGATGTGGATGCGCTTTGAAGATGCGCACCGGGAATTGACAGCGCACGTCTTTTCCCTGTCCGCGTCAAAGGGCATCCACATCTTCTATATGCAGGAGAAAAGTGAAGTTGTTCAATGCAGCTTCTCGACTGGAACTGAAAACTTTCTTCCTGTTGAACCCCGAACATATTTGTATTTTAGTCTAAGTACACAACCTCAGGATAAGACTCTTAATTATTTCTGCGCCTGTGTCATACCGGACATATAAAGAGATCAGCGGCGATCGGAATCACTGGCGATCCGAAGTATTCGTGTGACTGAGAAATTGTAAGATTTACTGATATGATGACGTGAACTGTGGCTGCAGGGTCACGCGAACTATTACGTTTTACTCACGAGTAAGCTGTTCATGAATCAAACTTTCAAGTTTAACGTATACCTAAACCTATACAGTCCATGTTCACACTCAAAAGATAAATTAGCTTGAATGCGAGGTTGTTCATTAGTGGCAGAAAAACAGGCAATGAGTCATTTGCTCGCACAGATGAGAGCCCACTCACCAGGGTCACTTTCAAAAAAATCAAATGCAGCGACAACGAAACGTGGGCACCACGGACATACACTGTGGGGCGATTCACGTTAAGCGCGGCTACTTTGTGCCCCGTGTTGTTTCGAACAGTACACATCATTGATATCAATCAATCTATAAAATAGGCACCTTTGCAATGGATTCTCAGTGTTAGCTTTCACCTTTTGCTACGCATTTCACACGTCAGTACACTTATTTGTCTCGGGTGGAAGACGACAGTGGCTGATGTCTTCCCGGTATTGGGGACTTGTCTAACGTCTGAGTATCGCCTCTGAGCCATCAGTCTGCGCTGAGCTTTACATTGCCTTTGATGAAATGGGCAGAACGAACCTACGCGCTCTTGGTGGGAATCCAGTTTCCTCGCGGGATCACTGCAATGCAGGCACTCTTCCTATCGTCATCAGGTCAAAAAACAGAACGTTTTGACTAGCATATAATATTGATTCGGGCATGTAGACTGCACCCTGGCTTGATACAGCTGTGCTCGAGTTGCCAGCGCTTCATCGGAATAATTTCATCCACATAAAACAATGGAACACAAGCAGCCGCGGCCAGGAACAAACGCTAAAACCACGCAAGAACAAGCTAAACCGGAAGTTTCCAGGGGTGGTTTCCCGGTGAACGCACAATGTTGCCAGACACCAGCAGGCTCTGGCGAAACAGTCTACAATGTGGCCTTTTACATGCAGTATTGTCGTTTACATGTGGCACACGCACATGTGTGTCTAAGCTGGCGCCGCTTCATCCTGAACTTTATTACCAACGACCGCATTAACTTTCAAACGCAAATGAAGACTTGGGGCGAAATCACTTTACCCGACTTCATGAGAAAGGGACAGTCGCCATTTAAGAAAAGGTACTCATGATTCGCCCTGTTTTGATGAAAATAAAGGCAGTCAAATGCCACTTGTGTCGTTTTTTTTGCGATTTTTCTTTCCTCCTCATAATCGTTCCAACAGTGACAGCAAGTCAGCTTCTGCGCAGGCATACACATGTTGCGGTGAAGCCTGCTTTGACGAAAAGTGTTCACGAAGTTTTACAATTTCAATGTTAAAACTTTCACAGATTTCTTCTTCTTATAACTTGAAAAAGCACATGACTGTGAAGGGTGCACTATGGTATCTGTCCAGGCTGCAGAAATATCCAGTTTTTTTTAGTTCTACCCCTCCCTCCAAATATATGACACTGACGGCATCATCGAGAACGTAGACCTGTTCTCTTGTGAATTAGTTTCAGCAAGCGCGAGCTGCTGCTTGCAACAGCATGTACACGCTGCGACAGGAGTGGATCGCCTGTAAGGTACGTGACTGTCCTACAGGCATTCCACTCTTACCAGACTCGAGGTATCGTAACTTGAGTTGCTGTGAATGTGAAAGCACAATTGCCAAACGCAGCGTACATGTGCTTGTAGTCGTTATCGCACAGCAGCGTCGCCAAGAGGGATGGTTTGGGATGTTAATGAATTGTTCACTCTATCTATATATACGCTCGCCACATACACACGCATGAATAATATACATAACGGATAAGCTATAGCTCCCCCTCCCCTTGCTAAAAGAGGGAGGGTGAGTTAGCTTCCTCTCTCTCTCTCTCCTATATATATATATATATATATATATATATATATATATATATATATATATATATATATATATATATATATATATATATATATATATATATATATATATATATATATATATATATATATCATGAGATCTAACAGACAATAATGCTAAGGAATGTAGTATAGGGAAAGTTATAAGCCCTAGTTGTTATGTTAATGTGAAGAAACAAAAATGGGTGAAAAGATAACTTGCCGTGGGCAGGAACCGAACCTGCGACATTCGAATAACGTGTTCGATGCTTTATATCACTGAGCTACCACGGCGGCTATCCCCCCTCAGCCACTTTATTGGCTATATATGTGAATTAAACGTATAGGAGTGTCAGTCAGCGTCACCAGTAGCCATGGCGGCGAGTGTGGCACACTCTTTATGAGCCTGTTTGGCATGACGATAATTATAGCGCGAGAACAGAACGACGACAAAGAGACAGGAAAGACACGAAGGACGCTCGTGTCTTTCTTGTCTCTTTGTCGTTGTTCTGTTCTCGCGCTATAACTATCGTCATGGCATACCAACTAGCCCAAGCTGCCACACTCCTCTAAGACGGTTCCTTAGAGGAGTGTGGCAGGTTATGCAGGAACTAAGACGGTTCCTGCATAACCTCCTTGGTTCCTGCCCACGGCAAGTTATCTTCTCAACCACTTTTCTTTCTTCAAATTTACATTACAATTAGACATATTAACTTCCCCTATACTTTCTTTGAAATCATTGTTTGTTAGGTCTCATTAATATTAGGAAGTTTTCAAATATGGGTCCGGAAGGAATAACGGCAAGGCCACTGCACATGCGCGAAACCCAAACCACATTTAGGTTTTGGGTTGGGGACCCTATTTCTCGAATTTCGCGGGAGCCCCGAAGCCTGGCCCATAAGTCCTGTGTCAGACAAGCGTGATGGCACCTACTGAAGTTACACGAGGAAGCTTACTTCATCGAAATAAGGCACCATTTTTTTCTGTTATTAAGGATAAGGGATGCGCCCAGGGAGACAGGAAGGCAGGTAACTAATGCATTCTTCCTTTACTTATGTTTGTTCTTGAGTGAAGGAGGCGTGGGGGGGGGGGGGGAATTTTAGGGGAGAGGGGTGGCGCTCAATCTCCCTGTTAGCGCCGCCCCTGCTTTCTCGTAGCAGGCGAGAAATGTAGTTAATGTATACTACGCATAGCTAGAGTGTACTAGAACAAGGGTTCTATAGTACACTCTAGCATAGCTTACTGTAGGAGCTTGGCATGACTCAGGCCCCATGGAGGAAGGTGCTCAGGCCCTCTTGCATTTTAACACATCAATCATAACACATGTCTAGAAAGACAACTGCGGTGTCTTGCACCTCTTCTTAATTGTTACACAAATCCATCATTCATTTGGCGAAGTGCAATGTGCGACACGCGCTCGGCCTAGCGAGAACTGCGCGAAATCTAGTGCACAAAAAGTGAACAGACAGCAGGCGCTACCTTACGCCGGTACGAAAAACTATGGTAGAAAAGCCAAGAAAAAGTTTTGCGGCATTAGCGGCACCTGGCGAAAGTTGAAACAACCGCAAACATGCGGCAGTGCTTGGCGCTGGCGCTAGCCCCGTCGTAACTATGCTCCTGCCTACCTGACATGACGTTTTACATATCCGTGTGTGGGCTTGTTAGTACAGTTCGCGACCTGAAATGGCTGGTTCCAGGGTTCCGGAAGGGTGATAACAAGCTTGTGATTCGCGACAAACTCACGTGCTTCAGAGCTGCCAGACACTGTGACCATATGAACAAACTCGCGGCTCCTTCAGCGATGCGGTATCGTTGCTAAAATGTCAGCGAAAGAAGCCCTTGAAGCCCTATGGAGTGCCTATCAAATCAAGGTAGCAATGTTTACCGTGCTATAATTGTCCGAAGTACAACAAAGAGATATTTGTTTACCTGGGACTGGGAACCGGTAGTCGTTCAGAGCTGTTCCGAAAGTAATCGCCTTCTATACACCTCTCGTAATACACCTGTTCTGTTGTGTTTTCGTTACTCTTGCACAGCGGAATGTAACACTTCCCTTGGGCAACTTGCACAATCTGAAAGTGTTCTGTTTAAGAAAAGAGAAAAATGCCGTACCATGTTGGGTGAACTAGCTAAAAGATGTACCTCTCTAGACTAGCTTATCGCAGGTTTACGACGTAATTAAGATCGTTCCCCTAGTGGGTGGGCGCGTACGACGTTTTAAACCGGCCGTGGAGATTGCTCATGTCGAGATCGAAGCTCGCTGTTTCAGAGGTGGGGGTTGCCCAAAGCCAGTCGCGTGCTTGTGTGAAACTTTCACCGCCTCAGTGTTTGAAGCGCTCAGCCACTACTGCTCTGGCATAACGCCTGTACTTACGTGTGCTCTGCAGCGGAATTCCACCACGCTCTTGGAGTACATGGTGGAGTTTCGCCGTCAGTACGGCGACTGCTTGAAGACGGATTTCCCAGCTAACCCAAGCAGGTAAATACACGATTACGCCAGTACTCGTTCGTGTGGCCAAGAAAGGCAAGTCACAGTGCCTGTTTATTTACATGGAAAAATTTGGTGACAGCAAAAAGTGCTCTTTGAAACGAAGTCCGAAGCTGTTATATTTCATCTGATCGCATATATAACTGTCAGCGTGTTATCAACTTTTAACAGCCAAAACAAGCATGCAGGTTTGTTTCGCTGATCAGAAGCGCCCCAATGATGTCTTCGTTAACACATCTTTATTGTGGCTTGCAATGTGAGCTATTAACAGAACATGCCACATTGCACAGCTAAAAGGCAACCTCCAATTAGTAAAGAAGCAAGAAGGCACAAAAGGAATGCAAACAAACCCATAAGGTGATAAGGCATGTGCAATGTGACATTCAGGCCGTAAAGAAAGTTCCTGCTCTTAAGCGAACAGGCGATGGCAGGATTTAATGTTAGTTCTGAAAGGTTTGAGATATGACCTAATTTTGAATTTTAATTTGTATAATTCTTGTTTCACTTGCACTGGTCTGGTGAGCTTGCCTGTTTATACAATTTTAGTTTTGCCAAGCAATACTCTCTTGATTGCCCACCTGTGAAACAAGTTGCATGCTTTACATTTTGATAAGTTATCAGATATATTTAGATCACCTAAACCTGTACATATAAATAGCTGTACAATGACTTTTTCTTAAGTGCAATTACCTTCATACCGAAAGATTCCTTGTCCCAGCTTTACTAACAATATTACAGTCCTTGACCTTCACCTAAGTGAAGTATATAATGAATGTCCCAAGCATTTTTTTATAAAAGACTGTTTAGTGCTGTTCTCTTAATGCTCAGCCAAACCTGGCCACATTCTGGTTAGTGTGAATGGCTATTTGCGGATGCATTAAACAACCTCAGGCAGTATGACAGCGCTTTATTACATATTTTCGGATTTCCTATTTGTTGAACTCTGCATGAAAGCTTATTGGTAATTCACTCAATGCATGATTACTATATGATAGTTTGTATGTATCACAGTAAAGTTTGAATATGTAGATATTGGCTTTAAGATCAATCTATGGTAGCATTGTTCTTGCTCAGCATATGTTCTTTTCATTCATTGCTCGTGGCTAGGTGGCACTTTGGAGTTTTGGATAGGTAATAGCTTTGTAACGGAAAGGGGCATTTATTTTTCTAATTTTTCTCTTCCATGATTTGTTAGGGATAACTTGATTATCATAAACTGATTCGTCAGTTTCCTAGGATGAAACTGTTCAATGACCGAGCTTCCTGAATTGTTTGCTCGCTTTCTTATGACTTTTTGGGTGGTGCATTCTGCTTTGCTGCGCCGACATAAGGGTGGAGCCAATCATGTAGCCAGGAAGTGAGATGCTTGCACGGCTTCTTCCCTGGAAACGTCAAGAATGTTAAGAAAGGAGTTCATTAGAATATAATCCATATCATATTGACAAAATGTTTCAGTGAAATATTATTGAGTTCATACTTGAGGAGCTTAGTAAACAAAACTGAAATACTTTTGTACAAAATTCAAGAGTGAATCATGGACTACTGCCTAGTTATTTGATGAACTGGAAGAAGGTGCTTCCCACCTCCTGCATGCTCACTTGGAACCATAAACAAATGACTTACTCTGTGGAATCAAAACAGATGGGGACCCTTAACATTTTGTGTGCTCTTATTTTGACTTTTCGTACATTATGAGCACTTTCACATCGTCCTTTTTCTTGGCTATGTTACTGCAGACTGGAGAAGTAAATCGGTAGAATCTGGAACTGCTGATTGAGGTAGGAAGCTTCACAACATGCATAACTAAGTGGACCAGCAAGGGTTCTCAGATTTGTTTCAATGAAGCGGAATTATAGCGGATCTGGTGTTGGGGGGGGGGGGGGGGGGGCGAGTGTCTCAAGTGAGTTGTATATTTGTGTAATATGTTGGTGACCTTGAGTGTAATTTACTATACTGCTTACTACTTCAATTCATTCAAGGTCTGTTGCGAGCCCTCATCTGATAGACCTTCCTGAAGGATTTCTTCAGGTAGTCGAGTTGTACCTGAGGGAGTGTAGCGATGAATGCAACACGGGTGTTACTGTTGAAACAGTGCAAAAGGCCAGTGTGGCTGTTCAAGTGCTCAGCATATTGTCACGGTAAGCAGAGTTGACATTGTACATTGCCTTAAGGCACACTGCGCTTTGCGTTGTGATCATTTAGCAACCATTACAATATTTTTTCAGACATCTTATATTCTGTACATGCAGTGCTGTATACTTGCGTATGCTACATAAATCTTGAATGCTACATAAATCTTGAAGTCTATTTTCAGTCTAATGTGCAGAGATTCTGATTCCCATTTACCTTTATTACCTTGGGGTCAATCATGTGAACCTTTTTATTGGATGAATGGATGGGCCGAGCATTTCCTCTGAAGTCAGACGGTGTGCAGATGTCACTAAGCTTATAAATGCACTGAAGTGAAGTACCCATGAGGTCCAAACTATGCAGCATGAAAGGCCATATAAATAAGATTAATAAGTGGGGAAGCTCAGCCCCCCTAACCTTTCTCACTGGAGGGCTTATGCCCCCCTTGCCCCTCCCTGCTGATACGCCTACGATTTGATTCACATAAGAGGCAGAGAGTCTTCGCTAGTGTAGTCAGCCCTCCATGTCACGAAATACCAGATCATGTTGGCTCGAGCCCGAGCATTCTGCTGCTTCTTTGCCCAACAAGGTGGACCGTCAGGGTACAGTCACTGAAGAGGTTTCAAGAAAACTACAGCCGAATTCAAGAAACTCTAAATGAGTTAATGCAGACACCGCGCTCAACAACGGAAAATTGCAAGGCTGTCTTGCAAGGATATGCAAAAGCCATGAAAAAATTCGCGACGCTAATAGGAATTGACATTTCAATAGTGCTGTTTGGTTCATGCCAAGAAGTTGCAAAGGAGCTTCAATGCCCAGCCCTTCGCGCGCCAGACACAAAGGAAACTTCCGGGACATTGGGTGAAGCGATCCCTCGCCTACGCACAGAAGAGGCGTTTGACCAACTGTGCTGAAAACCCCAGTCAACTGCCGCGCAGATAGGACTTAAAGAGTCTCAGGTGACAAGGCTTACAAAACCGCCAAAAAGATTCGTGTTGACAAAAAAGCTTTCTCAACCTGCCGCACTTGACCCCAAAACAGGAACGAGCAAGGAGTTTTTCACTGCTGTGTATGGGATAACGGGAGAAATACACCGTCGGTTTAAGCAGCCTGGTATGGACACGCTTGTAAATCTGGAGCTCACATAGACTAATGCTGCCAGAAGGCAGGAGAATACGCAAGGAAAGTTGAGAAATGTTCTATTTAGAACATACAGGAACGATGCATCCAATGCTTTAACATCATCCTCTTTATTTCATGATCCCACGCACTCATTCTCATTTTTTTTCCTATATACAACATTTCCCTGGCTGATAAAAAAAAAAAAAGAACTATCGCTTGTGTAGCTCATAGTGCTTCAATGAAGTTTTTTTCACTTGTACACTCTTCCGTGGGTAGCTGGCTGGACATTTTGTTTTGCAGTGAAGATAGTTCTGACGGCAGTGAAAATGGTGTTGACTGCAGTATAGATGGTTCGTTGGTTTTCGCTGCTGTCCCCTGCCGTGGCGTAGGTGGACAGTCGTCGTGTTGTTCACTCGCAGGTGTGCTACCTTGAAACGGCTCGTCCAATGAGGGCAGATTTCGATCTAGAGTTCCAGGCCGACCCCTTGTCAGCTTCCCAGTGGCTTCTGAGTGTATTTCTTGAAATTTGGAAGATTTTCATAGGTGACCTTCTTCCAAAACAAATGAGGCTGGCCGTCGTTGCTTAATGATTTGCTTTGGTTCCGAAAATTGTGAGGATATTTTCCCGTAAACAGATGGCTTTCTCTTTTGGGCGTAGTCGCCGACAACAAAGTTTCTGGACTGAGCTCTACGACGTCAGTCAGTGTAAAGTTGGGGAGAAGCTTGCGTTTGTTATACACGCTGATGCAGCCGTTTTATCGATTCTGCTGGACTTTTGTTAAATGAATAATCTGGTAATCCAACAGTGGGCTTCAGCGAGTTCGTGGCAATCATCCATGCAGGAGAACGGTGGGTGCAATTTCCGTTGTGGCATGAGGTGTGCAGCGATGGACGCCCAAATAGTCCGTCACGGCGACATAGATATCATGCCGCTCGTATGCTGGCATCTGGGCAACAGACTTGAGGACTCTGTTGAGCCTTTCTACTAGACCGTTTGCTTGCGGGTGGTAAAATAGAAGAAAAGCAATGGCGTATGCCACGTTCTTGAATGAACTCCTAAAATTCAGCTGAGCTGAATTGTGGTCCGTGATCTGAAACTATTTGATTCGGGTAGCCATAACAAGCAAACACTTGTAACAGGAAGTTCTTGACGGTCGCCATAGAAAATTGTCTCGGGGAAAAAAAAAAAAAAAACTTCTGGCCATTTGCTGTGATAATTGATAAGCGTCACCACATAGCGGCAATTGATCGGAGCTTGCTCAAAGGGGCCAATAATATCAATGGCAATTTTCTCCCAAGGCTTGTCAGGGAAAGTTACTGGCTACATAGGGGCTGCAGTAGGCCATGCATATTTGTCACATGACTGGCAAACAAGACATGTTTCAACCAGTTCTTCTACATGGTAATCTACTTGAGGCCACCAGTACAACTCTCGCAGTCTACTTTTTGTACGACTGATTTCCAGATGCGATTCATGTGCGACTTCCATCAAACGACAAGTAAGGCTACTTGGAACTACAATCCTTTTATCATGGTAAAGCAAGTTGTGCACAATGGACAGTTCGACACGCACATGTAAATACGACATTAGCACCGTTTCCCTAGATTTTTTTTTCAGTCCAAGATGACGAAACGAAGTCCATGACTTTTGTGATTATCTTGTCAGATGCACTCGCTGCTTGTAAATCTGCCAGGTTTATTTACTATTGGAGAAAGCAGGCAAACAAGTTGATTGTCAGTGACCAGACCGGTTTCTCCGGGTAAAGGCAGTTAAGAGAGTGCATCAGCCACCACATTATCACTTCTCTTGCGGTACTCTACAGTGTAGTTGTAGCACAGCAGTCGCTCTGACAAACGTGAAATGCGCAATGGGTTATGTTCAACACTCTTAGTAGACAACAAGGTAACAAGGGCACTATGGTCAGTTCGCAGAACGAAGGGACGACCCCAATGGTGCGCGTGCCAATGTTCACAAGCCCAAACGCATGCTAATGCTTCACGTTCACCTGCAGAATATTTCCGTTCTTGTGGGCTCAAGGTCCGGGAGGCAGAACTGTAGAATTCCCTTGCTGTATTCTTGTAGCACAGTGCCTAGCCCATATCCAGACAGTGCCTAGCCCATATCCAGAGGCATCAGTCGTGACAATGAGGGAAAGGTTCTGGTCAAAGAAATCCGGGACCTTGCAAGTTGTCAGCAGCGATTTCAAACGGACGAAACTTTCTTCAAAAGCTGACGTCCAAGCAAATGGTTCGTTGCCTCGAAGCAATGCCCGTAGAGGTTCCACAACATCCCCGAAAAATGGGGAACAAACTTGGCGCGAAATCCCGCCAGACCAAGCAGTGAACCAAGTTCATTTATGTTTGAAAGCGCCGCGGCTTCTTTCATCGCTTGAATAGATGACGCCAGCGGAAAGAGTCCTTTGCCATTCACAATATGTCCCAGGAACGTGAGTTTCATGACGTCGAAAATGCACTTTTGATTTAGTTTCAGGCCTGCTTTAGAAAGTCATTGCAAAATATAGCAAAGGTTTGCAAGATGGTCTTCTCGATAACGGCCATAGACGATAATGTCTATGCAAAAAAGTACACCTTCGCACCCTCCCAGTATGAGATGCATCATTTTCTGAAACAGCTAAGGGGCTGAAGCCAAGCCAAAGCATACTCTTTTGATGCGAAGAAGCCCGCTGTGCATAATGAAAGTAGTGAGGTTATGACTTTCAGAATCTAGTTCAAGTTGATGGTAAATCGACACCAAATCTAGCTTCAAGAATCGCTTCGCGCCAGCTAAGCTGTGCAACAGCTCATCTGTCTGTGGTAGTGGAAAGCTATCAACAATTGTAGCTTTATTAGGCTCTCGCAGATCAAGACACATTCATGTTGAGTCATCCTTTTTTCCGAACAGCCACTATGGGAGAAACCCACTGAGAGACATCAACGCGCTCAATTTTGTCTTCAGCTTCAAGCTTCTGCAGCGCAGGCGACACCTGCCCACATAGGGTAAACGGTAGCTGTCGTAACTTGCTGGCAGCGCGTGGAATGGACTCAGGATCCTTAACTTTGTATTTGAATCCTTTGGCAAGTCCGAGCTGTTGGTCAAAGAGATGTTCATACTCTGAATGTAACTCAGTTGGCAACATAGGAGTGCTGGAGGACATTGCAAGGCACTGAAATGATTTACCTTCCATGTTCATCTGTAGTGCCGCAATGGCGTCTAAGCCCAATACAGTGGTGCCTTCAGATACAACATACATAAGAATGCAAGCAGTTCTGTCTTGAAACGCAACTGAAGGGACAAAACATCCTCGAACTGTTATCTTTGACTTGGAATAGTTGAAAAGCTGCACTGAGGACGACTTCAAAGGGCAAGTGCTTGCAAACAATTGATGATAGAGTTTCTCAGCCAAAATAGTGACAGAAGATCTTGTATCAACTAGAAACAAGATAGTGTGACCTTCCACTGCAAAGGATGCCTAATGCCATGCTTGTGTCCCTTGACAATACAAACTGTTCTGCCGCTACACTGAGAGCTAGTTTCGTCATCGTTATCAATCTACCGAACTTTCGCAGAGTATCCAGATGACCTGCACATAACGTCTAAGTGCCCAATCTTTTTGCAGCGACGACATCTGCGCCGGCGAGCCTGACATGCAGGATTATTTGCAAGGTGACCAGTTGCACCACAACGTTAACAAGCTCGAAAGTTTGTGGTGCCTTGTACAGGATACCCCATTACTTTGGCTATACACTTAGCACAACGTGTACATTCATTTCTTCATTCTGGAGGCAGAAAAGAGCTTTGCGCCTTTTTGATGTGGCGAACTGAAGCGTCGTCGCAAAATTCTTTAGCTTGGCTCACGGCTTGTTCGTACTGGTTAGCGAGTGTAATAGCTCATGAGAGCGCCAGTGAGGAGCCTTCAAAAAGTAAACGATGACGTAACTGATGACTCGTAGTCTTCGAGACGAGCTGGTCACATAACATCTCATCAGCGGGACTTCCAAATTATAGTCAGCGATGAGAATTTGCAAAGCGGTGACGTATTCTTCCACTGTCTCACCTGCATGCTGAGCACGGCGACTGAACCATTGTCGAGCTACGATGACATTGACTGAACAGTTGAAATGGTCCGAAAGCAAGGCAGTTGCAGAGTCATATGCGTCGTTTGTCGAGTCGTTGTCACCTGTACTCAAAGAGCTGGGAAGAGCAGCTGTAGCAGAGCCAGACTTCAAGTCCGCTGGCTTCAATGCAAAGAAAATCCGCTGCCCCTCCATGCCAAGACAGGTGAGCAGGATCGCTTCGGTCGGCTGAAAGATCTGATGCTCCAGAAGTCACCATGTACGTCTGAAAGGCCTGCTTCCACTGGTTCCATGGGACAGCCGGATGACCAGGAGAAGGCAGGAAAGGCGGTGGTGGTTGTAATCCTAGAACGCTCATTGTGATGATGCAGGAGAAATCGGCACAAAGGTTGCTCTTGCATGGGTAGAAATCTCGTCGCCAATTGCTTGTATATTGAACATACAGGAACGATGCATCCGATGCCTTAACATCATCGTCTTTATTCCATGATCCCATGCGCTCATCGTCATCTTCTTTCCTATGTACAACAAGAAAGAATTTAGGTAGACACGCTGACGATTTTGCACTATCTAAGCTTTCAGCACAGTTTATGCTCTTGTCACCTCTTCTGTACAAAGTGGACGCAGTAATGGTAGAAAGTGTCATAGATGTTTTACAAAAAAGTTAGGGGGTGCGGGAAATATTTGATGAAGTTATCAAGTATCTCCAGCTTTTGCTGTCCATTCCGGCATCCGTGACCTCAGGCAAACACTCATTCAGTGCCTTACGTCGAAACAAAATGCACCTCCACAGCTGTATGACACAAAGAAGGCTAACACATCTTCTACTTTTACATGTCCACAGGGGCAGAACCACAGAACTTGTGTTAGACGATATTATAAACAAGTTTGTTAACAGGGCAACTGAATGAACAGCCACATTTGGCACGACAAAATGGCACACCGTTCAGTGTATAAAAAAATTCTTATGTCTGACCGAAAGCAGATAAAAAAAAGCACATTTTTTAATTTGCATGTGGTATATAATGTGGCTCAAATTATGTATACATGTATGTATAAATATGCAGTGTATGGCATGTATTCTTTTTTGGATACATCATTACCCATTCGTTTGAACTTGTAATTTCGATGTTGTCATGCATCATTTGTAAGTATGTGCGTTTTCACTCCTAGCTTACAAAACATTTGTCAGCCCGATCCTCGAATACGGAAACAGTGTATGGTTTCATCATACCTAGACTAACATAAAGAAAATAGAAGCAGTACAAAGGAATGCCATACGACTCATCTACAGCAAATTTAAATGCGATGACTCGCCCACTGACCGATAGATATTGCTGGACTTCCTACGCTAGAAGCACGAGCAAAACAAGCTCATTTAAAATTTGGTTATCAACTCCTGCGTAATTGTTATAAAATAGATATTTGAAATTATATTTTCTACTCACAAACTCGAGCTACCCTGTACAAACATTCAAACACATTAGTGCAGTACAAATGCAACAGTGGCGTGTTGAAAGTTTGCTTTCTAGACTCCATTCATGAATGGAATATGTTAGCCCCTCTCGTTACTAATACTGAGTCACTGGCTCTGTTTGAGTCAGATTGAAAAAATGCCTTGATATGTTAAATTGTCAGTAACATCATTCATGCAACAGGAATGTGTACTTATATTTTGCATCTAGTCATGTGTTGAGCTTTTAATGTTCCTGTGCCGTTTACATCTACTCGTATTTTGTTTATATGTTGTGTAGTATAAGTTGCTAATGTATAATGAGCAAAGTTGATGTACTCTTTTTTTGTGTGTATTGCTGATTGGTTAATATGATGAGTGTTCATAGTATCTGTACATAAGAACCACCTGGTATGGTCTCAGTTGAGACTGGCAGTATTGTAAATAAATAAACAAAATAAATAAATATCCATATATTCTACCATACTGCAGCCTTCATTTATTTGCTCAAATTGCATTGATATTTGTCAGTAGACATTGGAAAAGGTTGATGTCGGTGTGCGTGACAAGTTCCATATCCTTTTCACACACTTTTCTTCTTAACATTTACATTACAATGCAGTCTAATTACTTCCCCTATATTTTCCTTGGCATTATTGTCTGTTAGATCTCATTATTATTGTGTCAAACACAGAAAAACGGGCCCTTATGTATAAACTTATTTTCTTAATATTGTTACATCCTCAAGTAGGCGTTTGGGGATTTATTGGTACACGGTTCGTATGATATAATATATATATATATATATATATATATATATATATATATATATATATTATATATATATATATATATACACACATACATACACACACTTCCGGAGCCTCTGGTTGTCAGTCGTGTGCGGGTGTTAGAACGTGTCGTTCCTTACATTATTTTTTCTTTGAAGCCTTGGACATATTAATAAACCTTTAATGTACACACCCATTTTATTGAAATGCAAATAAAGCCAAGCTATAATAAAAACTGGTGTGCTGAATAAAAATACAATGGTATTAACCAAGTATAATATGTGTGTTATTGATTTGGGGCTTGCTTCAGTTCACTAAAGCATTGACATCTTCATCCTCGTCTCTTCATAAATATGTTGGAGCTCTGGCGCTCAATGAAGGAATGCACCAGATAATTATTTATGTTCTATGACATACATCCCTAGCTGAAAATAAGTCTATTTATCTTGCAATCCATCATGCAGGCAGAGCTTTGACTTTTACTTGGTTCTCTAATTTGCTCTCTCCTTTTTTTTCTTTATAGCAACTTCAACAACATTCCATTTGTATCAACTAGTAATGCAGTGCCTCTTATCATTGTGATTTCATCAGCTGTTGCCAACCAGGTGGGGTTTTGTGTCCTTCTTGCTTCCTTTTTTTTAAAGATATTAATTATCATTCCAACTCGTATTACTGATATCACTTCACTCTATTAGCCTTGTTTATCACAAATAGTACCAGTAGTGTGATACAGGCAGATGTCCTGCATGCCCCAATAAGTGATCATTTGCCCATTTATCTAGTTTTAGCAAATTTAACCAGTGTAAGGAGTCAAATCCTCCTCCCATTTACTTTCAGCAAATTAATCCACGAGCAATATTTTCTTCTAGAGATAAAATTAGCACTCTAAATTGGAAGAATGTTCGATCTAGTTCTTCCATTGATCTTGCTTTTGATTTATTATTGATACTCTGTTCTGTGTATAAAAAACATTTTACTCCTAAAGCTTCAAAGAAACCACAATGAGCACATAAACCTTGGATTTCTCGTGCAATACTCAATATGATAAAAAAAAAATGGGTTGTATCAAGTGTTTCTGATATTTAAAGTTTTTAAGGTATACAAAAATAAACTCACCAAACTATAAAAACAAGCTAAACATGATTGTCACTTCAAGATGTTTTATGTCATCACTGATTCCAAGCAATATCTAAATGCTATTATATCTTCCAAACAAGTGACTAATGATATTAGTGAGCTGGTGACCAATAATTGAGTAAGTAAGGGTGCAGTACTAGCAAACAAATTTAATGAGCATTTTATCTCACTAGCTGACAGTAGTTGTAATTGTGATTCCTTATGTTATTTGCCTCCTGCTTCAAAGCATTCTGTGTTTACTAATTCTGCAGATGTGCAAGAGGTCACCAACGTTTTTCACCGTTTCAAGATGAGTAGAAATGAGGAAATAGACGGCTGAAAGTTAGAACCTGTAATATGTATTTTGGGTCTTGTGTGTGCCTGCTTAGTACATATGTATAATCTCACCAGTGGGCTGTTTACCTAGAGAATTAAACATGCTACAGTAACGGTTATATAGGGGTAGTGACAAATGCAATTCAGGAAACTATAGACCCATTTCTATTGTGCCAGTTTTTTTAAGGGGTGTGAAAAACTTATCTTCATTCAGTTGGCTGATTTCTTTAATAAACCCAACACTATTATGTTGTCACAGTTTGGTTTTCAGTCAGGCCTCTCAACCAAAAGTGCCCTACTATACCTAAAAGAATTGATTCTAAGTAACTTGGAAGCAAGAAAGCTTACCCTAATAATATTCCTAGATTTCTCTAAAGCATTGGACAGATTAAACTGTGATATTATGCTAGAAAAATTTCCTTGTTATCACGTTTGGGGTACCACTTTCGCTTTAATAAGAAGCTACCTATTTCATCAGAAATGGTATGCATCAATCAACCGAGAGCTGTCATTAGCCATGAACATTAAGAATGGTGTACCTGAAGGTAGCATATTGGGACCCCTAATATATGATATTTTTATCAATGACAGCTCTTTAGAATACGTAATCTATGTGGACGATACCAGTATATTTATTTTACTGTGGAAACGGCTGATGACCTAATTTTTTCTGCTGATGAAATACAAAATAAATACATATGCCTGGACTGTGGGAAATTCTCTACATAATGCTCTAAAAGCATGGCTGTACTATTTTGTGCGAAATCCAAGTAATTCAAAGTGTCTCATGTACTAATACTTAATAATGTCGAAATTTGACTTTCCCAAAAGTTAAAACTCTTAGTGTCCATTTTCCCAAACACATGGCATGTGATTACCATACCAAAAACATTAGTCACAAACTTTGTAAAGCTTTAGGAGCGTTGCGTCGATCACAGCATACACTACCTGTGAAACAAAAAAATATCAGTATACAATGCTCTTTTTTCGCACTTTTACATTATTGTCATCTGGTCTGGTCTACAGGCTCTAAAGGATGATTAAATAACCTGCTCGTGCTACAAAAAGTACTTTGCGATGTATTGAAGGTGTATCCTATAATGTACACATTGCTTCAATGTTTGCAAAATGTAAAATTTTAAGATTTTTACGTTTTATGAATACCAGTTTCTGTCAACTACGCAGAGGAAGTATCCTTTTATGCCTTTTTACTGCCTTGCAACCAAATCATGCCAGTTCCATTACTGGTTATACGGAAACGTTGCATGTACCATGTCCTCATACTAAACTATGGATTCAGAACACTATGTTACCATCTTCCAATTGGGATGAGCAAATGGAAATTAATAATTGATGACTTGCGTATATCGCCTAAGCTCGCAGGTTAAATTTGACGTGCTGATTGTGTTTATGAATGTTGGATGGCTTCTGTAATGGTTACTTAGTTTCATTTGTTCATACATTGCTTTGTTGTGAATATTTTCGTATTTATTTCAGAGTTGTTAGTTTATTAATTGCTTTCATAGGCCACATGCGTGTTCTTTTTCTTTTCTCGCTTTCCGCTGGCTTTATTTTTTGTAATTTTATAATTTGATTTTTTTTTTCCTGGGTGAAAAAGCCAATCAGGTTGTTAAGTGCACCTTTTTTTTTTCTTTGCATCAAACCATGTATATTTTCAGCAACTTGTCCCGTAGTTTAATAAACTCGAAGAAGGTCGTAGTGCAGCTCTTTCTAATATATATTGTTTCTCTCAGTACACTCAGCACACTAAAGATGCAAACGACCATAACACAGCAAGTTTCCTCCTCTCTGTGCTGGTCTTTCTCGAAGTCCTGTATGACCCGCATCTCACCTGGCAGAAGATGTGCGCTAAGTAAGTGTTATGCTATAGTGTAGAGGAGTTTATCAGTACTAAGCACAGGCTTTTTGCTTGCATCATTTATAGTGAGGGACATGGCTGTGCTAGTAAGGTAGAGTGCCATGTTAACTGTTGACCTAGGTGTTGGTTCCAGGCTTAAATCCTGCAAAAAAGTCTTAATCTGCGGCTCTCTCCGTTTCAGAATCCTGTGCGGGTTTTCTTGTAGCTTTGTATAGCAGTTTCCTGCACATGCAATACTTTTCCTCGGTCATGGTTGCGCTTTGTGTCTGGGAAAGTATAGAAGATGCATTCTTTGTTTTGACTCACTGGCAAAATATGTTGAACTGTAATGACAGTGATTAACACAGTTGGTGTTGATGTTCTGCCCTGTAGGTTGGAAATCTACACACAGAGTGCAAGATGTTCATTTTGCTACATGAAGATTGTGGATAACGTTTGTGTGCTCTTTTGATTTGTAATATGTAATGGGCGTATTATGTGACTGTTTCAGTGAGCACACATACGAAAGGTGCGGCCAAATCATGTTTGATAGCTGTAAGACGACTCAAGTTGAGTTCTTTGCCCCAAACATTTTGTACTGTCAGCAACTGGTGACCTGTGTTGAACATACCTGCCGACTGTAGTGTGTCCAGCTTTCTCGGTATTTTTGCAATGCGCCGTTGTCACTAATGACATATGGGCAGCATTACTAGGCCATAAAGTTGAATTGGGTAACGTTCATATGTTTGTTTATATATTTCTTTCTTGAATGAGTGTAATGATTTATTCTTTGCCGCTGTTCGTAAATGTCTTTTTATTTACTACTGAGAGTCACTGACGGAAGCATTAGTATGAAAGTATTCGTCTGGTGTTGTGTGAAACAGGGGTGCACTCTGTGTTATGATTGGTAGCTCTAAACGGGCGTTTTATCTAATTGCAATTGTGTATAGCTTATTTTTTTCTCTCAAATGATGTCTTTGTCATTCATCAAACTTACTTTTGCTATTGAATTTCATACTTATAAAAAGATTGTGTTTAAAAAGTGCTGTCAGAAGCCCTTATAGCCACAATTTCATTACATTTTTGCTGTGCTCGCTGTAGAGCCTAGGTTTATCTTTTTCTTATTATTTTTAGTTTTCTTAGAAATTGTCCTATAAAGATATTCGTAACTCCCTAAGGAAAATCGAGTCTGTGAAATACTTGTTATGCTTATTCTCTGAACTGTAGGTTATGTGAACAGGGTTAACTGCAAGCTGCAGTAAGGCTTTTTTTTTTTTAAATTTGTATTGCTGACACTTTTCATGTATGCTTGTCCTTCCTCCTTCCAGGGTCCCCTTGGACTCAACGAAGGGTAAAGTTAGCCCATCACATCTTCACCTTGAAGTTATTCCATTTTTTTATGGTGAGCATGTGTAATAAATTTTCATGTAGCTTCTCTCTCTTAATTATACTCAATGTAAGCAAGCGAGTGGGAGCACTTCGTTCTGTTAAGTAAAAATCTCTTTGAACATCAGGTGTCACTGTGTAATTTGTACAAGGAGGTTATATTATTGACTGTTATTAAGGAAATGAGTTAATAGTGAAAGGCCTCTTAAGCTCTCATGTTTATCTCTGCCAGGAATAATTCAATCAGGAACATATTTCAGCCTTTCTTTTTTCAGTATGTACATTCGAATCTCGATATAATGAATGTCAATATAAGAATTATTTGTTATAATGAAATGAATTAAGAACAGTCTTGTAATAAATATAATGTTAAGTATATAGCTTTATAACAAATTTTCAGATATAACAAAGTTATTTTGCTACAAGATGCAACTTTGTTATAATGAGGTTTGAATCTAGTGTTGAGAAGCAAACTGGGGCATCAAAGGTCACCAGAGTGGTCTATATGTTCATGATTTCAAACTTCAATACATTGATTTTATGATGACAGAATCAGCCAATTAATATTATTAATGATCAGATAAAATAATCTTGATATCATTTGTGCTTGCTCAAGAAAGATTTGTTCTATTCGGATTGACCACTTGAGGATGTTCCTGTTATCTGTCGCAAGCTGTAACATCACACCTTCTTTCTTGTCTTTCTTAGATTGCCTCAGTTCAAAGCCTTGCTTTTTGCCTGCCTCAATACAAATGAAGCTCATTCACGTTTTTGGTGCAATCATTTGCGGAGCCCAGGTGAGCGTTTTATCGGGCATTTATTCGCTGTGAACAGGATTGTGAGTTTTGCTTTCTTTCACCGTTTTCTAAGAGAGGTGAAACACAGAGACGGAAGTTGTGTGCCCAGATTTTGTTGAACATGAAAAAAATTACACTGTGGTGGCTCTCATTGCCTTTGTATTGGTTCGGGACACTTCACCACATAATTTGAATGAAATGTAGGAATAGAACATGGTAAAATTGTTCGCCCAAAACAAACAATTTTGCGCGAGCTTTGCTTAGTTCCAGTTCTAGTGATTGTATGGCTTGTGTGTCGCTTAGTCTGTTGAGAGCAAGTAGACACAATGAAAAAAAGAAAGAAAAAATGGGGAGAAGAAATCTTCTAGTCCAGCAGCCATTTGGAAATTTACTGGCTTGAACATTGTAGAGCTTCAAATATCCAGAATAGCATAATTAAAGGAGAAAGTTTTAGTATAATTTATGTTTGTTCTAACGAACTTTTACAGCTTGCTTTAGGCTGCTACTAGTTGTAAAAAAAATAAAACTAAAAAAAGGTACAAATGAGATAAGCTGGAAGTTAACATGGTTGCACTGCATTATAAGAATGTACAGGTCTGGTAGAGTTGTTTATTTAAAACCCTTGGTAGCCATGCGTGTCTTTTTCTACAGAGATCCAGAAGACCACTTACATTTTGCCCCTTGTGTCTTCTATGTTTGCCATGATCCAGCACAATGCTCAAGTGGCAATAAACCAGAACACAGTTGAAATCCTGTTTCACCGGCTGCGGGAACAGGAATGCCCTCTTGAGGTGAAGATGACTGCGGTTCGATGTATTCTGCAAGGTATTGTCACCCTGTGTGCCTCACCACCGGAAAAAGTGAGTATCATTCTATTCTCCCTAAAGTGATGAAAAGCATTACAGTTAAACCTGGACATAACAAAATTGGGAAACTCCCCCCAAAATTAGTTATATATTCGTTATACAGAGGATTTTGTTATATGCAGGTTCGGTATGCAAATTCGAAAAATAAATGCACAAAAATAAACAAAAAAGATACTGAAGGCAGAGCTTACCCAAAACACTTATTTGACTGTAAAAAATGCGTTATTATTGCGATAGCAGTTATATATACAATCTCGGCAAGTTTTTTCCATTGCCCCCATGTTCCGTAATAAGTTTTAATGGATAACATGTCCCCGTGCATCGTAGCTTTTACTAGCGAATCACTGCTTAAACAGTGCGCGAGCGCTGCTGAAGCAGATATCAAATGAGCTGGCCGTTCTTTATCGCCTGGAGGGTGCATACGGTGACATCCCCCCGCGCATCGAATGCTCAAACAGAGAGGAACCAACCCGCCTTGAACGAGCATGAAGAAACGCGCCGGGGAGGTTCACTCGAGTGGCAATGGTGACTTTGATTTTAAGAGCATAATTGCAGTCGCTAGCGCATGCCATTTCGGCAAGTGTCAGTGCGCTTTTAATGTGAAGAAACTATGTGAAAAAACCACTTGTTCCTGGAGCGGCCGCATTTGCTTACACGCAACGTTTTGTAGGAGTTTGGCGATATCGGATTCAAGAGTTGGCATCCAGCTTTACTTTATATAACATTGCGATTTGTTGCTATCGCATTCATTGCATTGCGTTCAACGTGCCGCCGTGTTGTTGCCAGAACTAATCTTGAAGGCTACGGTCCCACGAACTCTCGGTGTGGCGTAGCACAAGATGAAAGCACGTGATGAGTTGACCTCCGAAGATCTGTCACCGTGGTGTCAGAGAGTTTCCATAAGCGCCTAATCTGACATCTCCTCAGCCGTGACGACATGATTGCGCACTTAAAAAATAAAAATAACAAAATGCAAAAGCCTAATGTCGTTGGGGGCCCTTCCATGCACGCGCAGTGAAACCATGCTTGCATGCACGGCGTTGAAAACAAAGAGTGGACGACAAGGATACCGCGGCAAACTTAGCTATAAGGTAGTGTACCCTAGCACGGCCCCACATATGTGATGTTAACTAAAAGTGTGGCACTGGCACTGTGAAAAATGTTTTTTTCTGTTTATGGTATGGAGAGCGGGGGAGGGCACATACGCGCTTGCGCTGCAGCAGCAAGAAGGGCTGAAACACCGGCTCAGGGGGCACAAGCCCGTCTGCCCACTCTCGCCTTGGAGTCGCTGGGGTCACGAGCGTACTGTGTGCGCTGCTGCTGCTTCGCCCTTCGTCAGCGAAGTGCTCGTGGCAAAATTACAAAATTACAAAATGCAAAGCAAGACTTCTAGTTTGTCCGCGGCAAAAATTCGTTATATCGAGGATGTCTCCTGCAGTTACATTGTTACATTTAGGTGTAGCAAATGCATCTGTTTCTATGAAGTTACCGCGGGGAATAGAAAAACTACGTTGTGTTAAGGGATTCGTTATATGGAGGTTTGTTATAAGCAGGTTTAAGTTTATTTGGCTTTTACTCATTGTTTGTTGCTCTAGGCTCCTGAACCTCCACAATGGCCACATTAGATGTAGAGTGCAAAGAGTATTAGAATTCACTCTAAAAAGAGCAGACAGTAATTTCAGTCATCTATGTTATTGGTCAGGCTTTTTAAGGCAAAAACTAGCTGGGACATTCCACCAGGGTAAACTGACACTGCACATAGCACTAGTTAGACCCACTTCAAATTATCATATGTATCGATAGTTCAGAACCCCCGCCAAAAGCATTTGATCAACTTGTTAAAAAAAGAAAAAAAATTCCAAAAGGCCAGTTGGATTTGTTTTTCAAGTCAGGAGGGCGCTGCACTCCATATGCAAGTTTTTGTGACAACTCTGGCTAGCCTGCCTGAAGTTTTTACTTCTTCTTTTCCACAATTTCATAAAAAAATATAAACAAGGACAAGTACCTGAAACCTCTGGAGTAGAAAAAACAAAGCAAAAAAAAACAAGAAGAAATGTCTACACCCCATTCTGTAACGCAACAAGTTTCATGTTGTAGGCTGGTGTCTGAGAGGGATGTGAAGTGCCCTTTTTATTATTCTCTGTTCTACATGTTTGGCAGATGATGTGCCCAATTAAGCACGAATGCCGCTTTATTTCTTCAATTTCATCGTGCTGATGTGTAACATGTTAATAGTCTAGATGATGTTTCTTTTTCATGATATGCTAGATTGGAACAGTGTGAGGATGTTTTGGGTATGGGAAAATGATTTCATTGAAATAAATTTTTATTGAGACTACACACTCTTGACTGGGAAGCAGGGATGAGCACATTAGTGAATAACACTGTTATGTTGTCATGGTGATGTATGAATAGTGAAACCAACCATCTGGTTTATTTGATTTATTGTTTGGATGGCACAGATGGTTCCTGTTGGCATTTTGTTTTAGATTCACTGTTGCATCTCTCTCTCTCTGGTCTTACTTTATTTTTTATTGGCTTGCGAACAGCCATTTGTAAGGTCTGATGAAGCAGTTTGGAGGCTGTAAAGCTGCAATTTTCTTGTCAGCAATAATTCCTTCTTTATGGTCGATGGCTAAAAGGTGATTGTCACATGAAATGATTCCAACCATGAGATGTAGGTTTGGAAAGACAGTGGCTCTTTGCACTCTTACTTGTTTGCTTGCATGCAGAGAAAGGTGGACCTGAATGCATTCGTGCGGGAGTACTTGGGGACTCTGTCGAAGCTGATGACTGAAGAAGAGAAGCCCACTCAAGTGGATACAGCTCACTGGATGATGAGTAAGACATTTTGTGCACCTGTTGTGACTTGTTTATTTTGTATTTATGTGCACTTATGGAGCATTCGTTGTGTTCTGCACATATGTAGTTTAGAAGCTTTTCTTTGTGAAATTCTACTGGTTGCTCTGGAGAGTTTTCAGTGAAGAATTTGTGTTCTGCTGGTAGATCTATAGTAAGTTCAGTTGTTTTACTCGTTGTTTTATATCAACTAACTTTGCAGTAGAGCTTTGCTGTCGTGCTATGAATCTGGTCAGAATTTAAAGGCCAGTTTCTGCCGCTGGATGCCCTAAATGCGGAGTCTCCCAATGACATTAGTATATGTGTGGGCAGTTACTGCTACATGTTAACTATTGTGATGTTAAATGTTTTTAAGATGACTACAGCCAGTTTTCATCAGAAATGTTGTTTAGGGGACAAATTTCTTAGTTTTTCTTACCAGATAAATGCAGTATGACGAGCAGTAGATATAAAGTATGCAAATTATTTCAGTGTATTTCCTAGATCTGAAACGTTTTCAGTGTAGGTTGTGAGAGTACATTATGTTAGTAGTAGTACTAGATTCTTATCCCTTAAAGCGTGTTGAGGAGTCGCTGTAAGTTTTTTTTTGCCTGTGGGGAATAGCTAGCTGTCCTGCTTCATGCATTGCAGCCTAAAAAGAGATCTATGACAAGAACACTGTCGTGGTCAGCATTGGGAAAAATACATAGTGATGCACTTTTGCAAATGTGATGTGGTGGACTTCTGAAAGTGACTTGAAAGAATGGGGGTTTCGTGTTTGTCTTTTCTGCCTTTGCAGGTGGTCTGCAAGAACTATTTTCATTGAACAGCAATTTGGCCTTAAAGAAAGTGTTTCACGACAACGAAATGGTTGAACGCCTTATTCGCTCCCTTCATGGAACCAAGGTGAAGTCCACAGCACTTTCCGGGGGCCTGCCTTTCTTTTGTTGGGCGCCATCAAAAAGAAAAGTGGAATTTAAAACTGTGATGAAACAGTAGTGCGAGAGTCGTTTCCAAAGCCCGATTCCTTATTTGACAATGTGCCACTTCTGAAGACTTGGCACTGTGGATAGAAATGTGTGTAAAAGAATAAATAATTAAAAAAGAAAGCAGTACTCACAGAAAAGTCTTCAGTACAAAAGAAGGGCTGCTCACTGAAGGCTTACGAAATGCTGTTGGACACAGTAGTTGATTTGCTGTACTTTCTGTATTATTTTTTTGTTTGACGCTAGTCTTGAAAAAGGCAGCTCTGATGGCAGGTAATTACTTGATCATAATGCAGTGGAGCACCCGGTGTAAGTGCATTAATTGTACTCTTCAGCAGGCATAAATAACGTTCTGTCAAACTTCACTTTTCAAGCTAAGTTTATAAAAGATGATTTTTTAGGAAGCATATTTGACAAGGTGTCTGTGTGAGGCTCATTTGTGCATACACAAACACTTTGATAACTTCCTTGAACAAACCTTAAAGACAGAGATAAGAGTAAAAACTTGGTTTTTATTTATACTATAGTCGTGAGTAGAGTTTGTGTGGTATGTCTAAAAATGACATTCGACACAAGCTTTGCACTGTTATTTGAGCGTTAATTCTTCTTTAGGATTATGGGGCATGCAGAATTCTTGAGCCATTGAATAAGTGCATAAATAAAATAGATGTAATAATGCGAGAGCTGAGATGGTTTCAGGTAACTATCCTTTGTCCTTGAGCTAAAACACATGAGAATAATTTGGTGCTTACTTGAATACATGCACTACATCCGGGGTACTGTGAGTGAACGAGGCACTGCTCATTATGGTAGATGCAGATGGTGATGTATTTAAGGTTTGTTAAGAATGAAATAGAAAGATCTTATGTTGCTCATAAATCGGAATAGCCGATTTATTTTCTTACATGCGCAGGTGAATGAATGAGCTATGCTTTGTTTTGTCTGTCTTTACAGTTAAAGAGTGGCAGTGCCCAGAAAATGGCCACCTCCTCCGTGCGACTGATTCATGTCTTCCTCTCCAGTTTTCCTTTTGCAAAGGTAGGGGCCAATGCGGTATACAGTCTATAGTACTGCCACCAGTAAACGCTTGCGGGATGTGCAGCACGTGGCGGAGCGGCGGAAAACTGTTTTGCTGCACCACCTACTGTGCTGTGGCGCGGTGTCGAGGCTACTATACCCAGCCTCAGTGATTAGCAACAGTGTGTTTATACAATGCACCACTGCTGGATCTAATCTCGGAAGCTGTGGCCAATAACCTCAACATCATGGTGCACATCACGGCAGGCGGTGCAGCAATGCAGTTTTCTGTCACGCCCCCACGCGCTGCACATCCCGCAAACTTTTGATGTTGACAGTAAATTCATTGCATGTAGTAAGCGTTAAACTGCAGCTGTTTTGATTTTGGTGGTTTACTCACCAGTCTCTGGTCTGATTGGTGAGTGAGAAATTTAATTATAGCTCACTTGTTTTCTTACCTTTTTACAGAAACATTTCTCAAATATGCAAGGTTACCGCACTCTAATAAGCACGCTCAAGACTATGGGAGAGCCTCAGCAGAGTACGCTGGAAACACTTCTTGAATGGGTAAACTGATTTTTTTTGTTCTGGTATTAACAGTCGATGCGGGTTTCTGACTCACTCATGGCAATAAAATTGTAAAAGCGGCTCACACGGGCAAATTATTTCGAAAGGCTGGAACATTGCCTCTTCATCACCTCTATGATATTAAATTTGCATGGTGATTAGGCGAGAAGGAAAAGAAAGTTGACATTTTTTGCATGACCTCTCCTAACTACAGCCAATTATTACATTGTTTAATCTATGAAATACGGTAATGTGAAAAATAAAAACCTCCAAAACATCCTACTCAAAGGTAAGTACACTACTTAATAAGTGAAAGTGGGCATAGATTACTTCCACTCTTTCCGTAATACAGCAATTAACCCCTGGCCCTCAGTCCCCAGCGGCTGCGAAGCTGCTGTCCAAGGCGGCGGTCAAACCTGCAGCGGAGGGTGCTAAGAATCTTGGGGGTCCGGACAGGCCGCCATTGGAATCTGAACTTGGCTACTTTCAACGCTAGAACGCTATCTAGGGAGGCTAGTGTAGCTGTGCTATTCGAGGAATTAAAATGTGTTAAATGGGATGTAATAGGGCTCTGCGAAGTTAGGAGGACACGGGAGGCTTATGCAGTGCTGAAAAAAAAAAAGGACACGTCTTATGCTATCATGTATAAGGTGACAGAAAAGAACTAGGGGTGGTGTTGCTCATACACATGAATATTGTTGGCGGCATGGAGGAATACTATAGCATCAGTGAGAGGGTGGCATGTATCATAATTAAGTTTAACAAAAGTTACAAAATAAAGGGGTACAGGGCTACGTGCCTACATCGAGCCATGATCATTTGGTAGAATGCTTCTATGAAGACGGTAGAGTCAGGCATTAGTAAAGACACAGTATATTATTCTGATGGGTGACTTTAATGCCAAAAATGGCAAGAAACAGTCCAGAGGCCATGCATTGAGGGAATATAGCATTGTCTCTATAAATGCCAGAGGGGAGTTCTTGGTAGAGTTCGCAGAATGTAATAATTTTTGGATCTTGAATACCTTCTTCAGAAAATGGGCTAACCGTAAGTGGACGTAATGAAGTCCTAATGGCGAAGCTCAAAATGAAATAGACTTCATTCTGTGTGCACACCCAGGCATCGTGCAGGGTGTAGAAGTGGTTGGCAAGATTAGATGCAGTGACCATAAAATGGTAAGAGCTCGTATTCACCTAGATTAAAAACAAAGTAAAGGCAAAACTGATACACAAGAAGCCAATTAATGAACTGGCAGTGAGAGGGAAAGGTCAGGAATTCAGAGTTTTGCTTCAGAATAGATTCGAGACACTAAACGAGATAGCTGACTTTAGCGTTGGCACAATGAACGATAATCTTATTGGTATTATCAAAGAGTGTGCAATGGAATTAGGAGGTACAGCCATTAGACAGGTCATTGGCGAACTATCTCAGGAGACGAAAAATCTTATTAAGAGATGACAAACCATGAAAGCCCCAAATGCAACCGACAATACAGAGCTAATAGAGCTTTCGAAGTTAATCAGTAGGCGTAAGGTAGCCGGCATCAGAATATGGAAAGAATTGAGCAGGCTGTAAAACGCGCCATAGCCTAAAAGCTGGGAAGGCAGACTTGTACATAGGCAAAAATAGAATGTATGCATTGAGGAACAAGGAAGGCAATGTCCTAACCAATATGGATGGGATAGTCAAGGTAGCAGAGAAGTTTTACAGAAAGCTGTACAAAAGCCAAAAGGACCAGGATGATATCGTGAGAAAATGTAATAGTTCAGAAGAATTCGACATCTTACCAGTAATGACAGGGGAAGTGAGAAAAGCCCCTAGAAGGAAGGCAAAAAGGCAAACGGCTTGTGAGGATAAGGTAACAAGAGAACTCCTGAAAGATGGCAGAGAAATTGTGTTTGAAAAATTAGCCACCTTATGAACGAAGTGTTTCTTGACTGGAAGGGTACCAGAATCTTGGAAGAATGCCAACATCATCTTAATCCACGAGAAAGGAGACCTGAAGGACTTGAAAAATGACAGGCTGATTAGCTTACTGTCCGTTCTCTTCAACTTTAAATTATTTACAAAAATAATAGCTAATAGAATTAAGGCGACATTAGAGTTCAACCGAAGGACCAAGCAGGATTTTGTACAGGCTACTCCACAATAGACCATATTTATACTATCAGTCAGGTAATAGAGAAATGCGCGGAATACAACCAACCCCTATACATAGCTTTCATAGATTACAAGAAGGCATTTGACTCATTCGAGAGATCAGCAGTAATGCAGGCACTATGGAATAAGGGCATTGAAGAACCGCAAATAAACATACTGGAAGAAATCTACAATGGATCCACAGCCACCATAGTTCTCCATAAAGAAAGTGACAGAATTCCAGTAAAGAAGGGTGTAAGGCAGGAAGACACGATCTCTCCAATGCTATTCACCGTGTATTTACAGGAGATTTTCGGGACCTTATACTGGAAAGAGTTAGAGATAAGAATTAATGGAGAGTATCATAGCAACCTGCGATTTGTGGATGACATTGCCTTGATGAGTAACCCAGGGAGAAATTACAGCTCATGATTACTGAACTGATCACGAAAAGCAGAAGAGTAGGTCTGATAATTAATATGCACAAAACTAAACTCAAGTAATGTGTAGCTGTCTTGGCAGAACAAGACACACACACACACACGCACGCACACGCACACACACATGCACGCACACACACACAGACAGACAGACAGACACACACACCCGGACAGACAGAGAGGGAGAGGGAGGAAGGGGCAGGTTTCACGTGTGCGCAGAGCTGCCCAAGCTGGGTTCAAGCTCTGCGCTGATTTGTTTTGGTAAGTCTTTCGTCGCTGTCTTCAGTTCCTTTTTTGTCAAGTTTGCACTAGAAACGTACATGAAATGCTTGCATTGCACAGTAGCAAAGCCTCTTGCAACAAGCTGTGACATATCATTTTTTGTGACCTTCTGTAGCAATTAAATTTCACATGTCCTACATCAACCGCATAGAGTATGATTGATTCACTCACAGTAATTCATGGTCTTTTCACGTCCACTGGCCTCTCACAACACATACTGTGTAGTTGGCAGTTCCTTTAAATGTGATGTACTAATGGCACATGCTTGCATGCACATGACTGCACATGCTTGCATGTATATCTGCCGCAAGCGTGCAATGTGCAAGTTTATTTCAATGCACTGTTGTTGAGGTTTTCTTTCTCCCTCTTTTTTATTTTGCTCTTGGTGATTAAGCATGTCGTGTTGTGGCTTTACTGGCTAGGAGGAGAACTGTAGCAGAGGATTCCAAATAATTTCGCAATTTCTGTTCCTTCACGGAGCACTGAAATCTGGATACAGGGTCCCTTTTGTGCTTTACTCCTATCATATATCTAGCTACTGTTGTGGCTGAGTACATAATCGGACTCGAGTACTTCGTAGTTTTTAACAAATTTCAAACTTTCCATAATTGTGTTACCTTTTGGTGTTTAAGAAGTGTTACTTTGAAAAAGAAATTGAATGTAGGTCTGAAAACCTTCCACCAAAAAGTTTCTGTCAAAGTAAAAAATGTGGGCAGCTTGTGTTAGTAGTGCAAGGCTCGACTGACAGCAGACCTTGTGGCCAATCTACATTATTAGTGAGGACTTAATCAGCCAAGCCTAACCAGGATCTTATTAATTAGCATTGTATTAATCTAGATGTTATTAATTAGCAAGGTTTTCTTTCTTTGTCTTTGTGCAGCTGGTTGAGGAGACGCCGCGCCTGACTAGGACATCATCAACTCTCCGCAACTTGGAGCTCATGATACACCTTCTGCACTGGCTCCCTCAGCTGGAGTCACACTCCCTTCAGCTTTGGCTGGCTGAGCAGCTCGACTCCATGGTGAAAGGGTCGCTCAGGTCGCGCATGGCCTGCGCACGGGGTGGTGTCATCCCGGCCATCATTCATGTCCTGGGCAGGAGCAATACTATTGGTGGCAAAGCTGTAGGTAAGGGAGTGTGTTTGACCTTGAGACCGAGCTATTGTATCCTCAAAAGTAGCGAAGCGTTGCTCATTTTTCAGAAGAAATAAAGAAAAGTAGTCAATGAAGTAGCCATACATTGATTGATGGCGTAGTGATAACCACTAAGGGCAACACCATGTGCACTGTGCAAGATGGATGTTCAAAGCATATTCCTTGTGTTGCATTCTGTGTGCTTTCAAGGAGCAAGTGGGGTGCCCTCACTTAAGTAGTGCTCGTAACTAAAGTCTACATGTGCTGTGTATAGATACAATAAATAACATATATATACATTAAACATACAATATACATACACTAAAATGTCCATTGTAGTTGAAGTGGCAAACAAACTACGGCAAACAATTTATACCAAAGTATTTGTCTATTAAACGAAATAGGGGGGCAAGTTAATAACGAATGCCCATCATTCGTGTTTAAAAAGCAAGGTGAATCTTCATTAATTACAACTGGGTTACATTTCTCTTTTCGTTGATTTTTAAGATTGAGAAAAAAGTGTTTGCCCTAATTTGTCCTCACCAAACCTGCGCATCATGAAGCTTCAATGATTTCTCTTTCCCTTTTGTCTTCTGATCTGGATAAAACAATGGTCTTTTCAAAGTTCGGCTTACAATGACACTTCATGCAATGGGTAGCTAAGTTACTGGGGTGACTGATTTGCTTGCAGTTATAAATCATGCTCGCGTAAACGTGAGTTAAGGCACCTACCAGTTTTGCCCAACGTACCAATTTCCGCAAGGCAAAGGAGTACCATATACAACATTTGTTTCACATGGAACAAATTTGTTAACATGCCTAACCGACATATGTGGTTGTTCCCTTGGTTGCCGCTGTTTACTTGGTGACAAAGCGAAATTAATTTGTGAGGTGCCGTGAAGGTCATGGGTATGCCATGCCTACTTGCAATTTTTTTCAGTCCATGCGAAATGCCGTGAAGTAAGGCATAACAATAGGCCTCTCCTCTGGCTTCTCTTTTATTCCTACGTTCGTGTTGTGCGTGCTGCCGATGGTTTTTAAAAGCCTCTCGGCCAAGGCTGTGATTAAGGCATCAGGGTAATCACTGTCCCTAAGTCTATCAATCTGCTTCATCAAACTACGTGCAACCATGTGGTCACACGACTTTTGGCAGCTGTTTAACATGCACGCATATGCAACACTTCTTTTCACAAGCTTGGAGTGACCCGAGCTGTAGCTTAACAAACTTTTATCACCTCTAACGTCATATTCCCAGCACATGTGTCCCTCACCTTGCGAAATCATGATGTCTAAAAACTTTATGCCAGAACTTGTGGGCAACTCGTAAGTGAAATCAAGACCACGAAATGTTGTTTTAAACATCGCGACAAAAACTTCGGGTTTTATGTTGGCACATTTCGACCTAGGGAAACATAATAAAAAATCATCAACGTAGCGGAAACATGCCACAACGCCGTACCCTTGCAATCGGGGTTGCAATTCACGATCTCCTTTCGCCATGTACAAATTCGATAAGATCGGCGCCAAGCACGAGCCGATGCAGATACCGTCGTTCTGAACAAAATGGATCCATTGAAATCCACGTACAATGACTGAAGGTAAAGGCGCAGCAAATCCAAAAAACTACGAACACTAATCCCACACTCGTTTTGAAATCTAACAACCCCGTAAGTGTCAATGCTTCCTGCACCGTAGTAATGGCCTCAGTTTGTGGGATGTTGTAGTACATGTCCTTGACGTCTATAGATATGCACGTCACTGATTGTCCCTTCTTTAGGAATTCAATAATACCGTTTGAGTTGCTCACCCCAAAAGGGTCTTCCACTGCGATGAGTTCCAACATTCCTTTGAGAAATCTAGCTAAAATGTGCTGCCAAGTACCTTTATCTTCCACGATCATCCGGAAGGGATTGTCTTGCTTGTGCGTTTTTGGTAGTGAAGAAGGGTCTCAATGTGGTCCCGTTGCAACCCTTAAGGTCCTTTTCCAGCTTCTGTAGTCCCAGTCGCTTACACAAGCTAACGGCTTTTTTGTGAACATTCTGCAACGATGCGCCATCGAGATCCACTATTGAGAAGTTCTTTTCAACCGCTTCTCTAGCCTTAACCAGGTGTCGGTCTACCGCCATAACTACAAATCTTCCCGTCTTGTCCGACAATTGTAGCGTCAAATTTTGGTCTTTTAAAAATTTTACCACGTTTTTCACATTCTCGCCTCTCGGTCTGCGCAAAGGGTGTTTGTTGACACACTTGATGCCCTCTACAATGCAAGCATTCTTCACATCTTCTGGAACCCTGCGTGCCACGTCGTGAACGAGCTCAAAAGTTTTGAAGGTTTGCAACAAGGTTGTATCGCAAATTTTGGACCTTTGTCAAGAATGGACCGTACCTCTTGTGGTAGCTCTACATCAGAAACGTTGATGTGCCCTGTCGATGCGACACTGGGTGACTTCCTCCTATTCCTGGGAAGCGACGCGAAGGACAGTCTCCATAACCGTTCCCCCAGGTTCTCGGCCGTGTCTATGAAGAAAGCGTACATCAGGCTTGACGCATTCGGAGCGAGGTGTCTTGCACAAGTAGCCTTGATATGCAACCTAAAAATCCGTATTTGTCTCCAGCTCTCAGCTCTTTTATTTGTGTGTCTTTTATTTGTGTGTTTAATTCCAGCGCGGTGTGAGTCTCAACAATGTTCAACCAACTAGCCCCCACTCTTGCCCTTCTAACCGGCATTCTGTGTGCTTTCAAGGAGCAAGTGGGGTGCCCTCACTTAAGTAGTGCTCGTAATTAAAGTCTACATGTGCTGTGTATAGATACAATAAAGAACATATATATTGCCACGTTCCATTTCACAAGTTTTTGTTATCGTTCCGAAACACCACACGATTCTCGGCGCAAACCGCGCCTGCAGGTTTCGAGAAGGTTCCGGACTGTAGTAGATCATTTCGATAAGATCACGCCCACTGTGCGAACGGTACAGATTGTTCTGGAACCTACGCCACCGCCAGCGATAACGCTAGAACATTCGACGGCAAGGGTATAAATGCCGACGCGCTTCGCCGCTTGTGAGTTGTTGATCGAAGGCCGACGCTGCGTTCGCCGCTATCAGTCCGAGACTGCTGTCTGTGCAAGACTGCTGCTGTTTTTAGACTTTCCCTTTACCGGGCACAGGTTCGCCCAAATAAACAGTTAAATCCCAACACGAAGTTTCCTGTCTTTGGCCACGTCACGACCCCGTGACATCTGGTGGAGGTGCTGCTTCGTTCTTGTACCGGACGCCCCCGTCAAGCCGTGAACCCAGCCCCCGTCGCGGAGAAGACACCGACGCCAACCAAGAGCAGCGAACGAGCCGCCGACAGCAAGGTCTCCCACCGGAGTACGGCCTTCTACAAGACAAGGCGCGGAAGACCAAGACCATGACCTCGACTGCAGCGACAATGACAACCGGAGCGTCCCAGCCCGCGATCGTCATTCATCAACCCAGGGAACCACCAACGTTCCATGGCTCATCGTTTGAAGACCCGGAAACCTGGCTAGAAACATACGACCGTGCGGCCGCCCTCAACCAATGGGACAACGAAGAAAAGCTCCGTCGTGTGTACTTCTACCTGGAAGACACCGCAAGGACCTGGCTTGAGAATCGGGAGTCCACGCTCCGAACGTGGGATGTCTTCTGCGGCGCCTTTCTGCAAACGTTCGCAAGCGTCGCTCGCAAAGAGAGGGCCGCTGCTCTACTCGAGACTCGGGTTCAGCTACCAAATGAAAAGGTTGGAATTTTCGCAGAGGAGATGACCCGCCTATTTCGTCACGCTGACCCAGACATGCCTGAGGAAAAGAAAGTTCGTTTCCTCATGCGAGGGGTCAAACAGGAGCTCTTCGCGGGACTAATGAGGAATCCACCGAACACCGTCCAAGAATTTGTATCCGAGGCGACCACCATCGAAAAAACGCTGGACATGCGCACCAGACAGTATAATCGTCGCCTGACTCCAGAATGCGCTGCTGCTCAAGCCAGTGACTCCGACGACCAGCGTGAAACGATCCGAGCGATCGTGCGGGAAGAGCTGCGCAAACTGTTGCCTTCGGCGCAGCCTCAAGTGGATTCGATCGCCGACATTGTGCGAGAAGAAATCCGGCAATCGCTTCGAATTCCCGAAACACCGCCGCCCGAACCAGAAACTATGAGCTACGCCGCTGCAGTGCGCCACAACGCTCCTCCCCGTCCACGCCAAAACGCCGCCCCGTCACACTTCCGACGTCCTACCGTTCCCCAGCGGGCCAGCGCAGTGCACCGAGGAAAACGGACGTTTGGCGTGCACCTGACAACCGCCCGCTCTGCTACCACTGCGGCGAGGCCGGGCACACATACCGCCGTTGCCAGTACCGACAGATGGGACTGCGTGGCTTCGCCGTCAATGCACCGCGTCCGCAGCCAGGAGATCGGCCACGTGACATCGCCGACTACCTGGCAGGAACTCAATGGACACCACGAAGTCCTTCCCGTTCGCCGTCGCCCAGCCGCCACATGTCACCGCACCCCCGGCAGTACTCTGGCCCAACGCGGGGCTGGTCTCCTAGCCCGTATCCGGGAAACTAAGGGCAGCAACCGATGGAGGTGCGGTTGCTGTGCGACGAACTACCGAAGATCCTCCGACGACGACGCCGACGCGACGGAGCTTTTTGAACACAACACCAACCAGGCAAAGCCCTGAAGGCAAAAGCTCACTTACCGAAGGTGGCCGGACGACGCAACATGGAAGCAGCGGAACAAGTTGACGCAGCCGTGACCCGACGCCACGCCCTAACTGTAATGCGAGAAGGCGAACTAGCGACCTCGACGTTCTTATCGACGGCCACAGTGTGACTGCTCTCGTCGATACTGGAGCCGACTATTCTGTCATCAGTGGGTCGTTCGCCGCGAAGTTAAACAAAGTTAGGACAGCTTGGAAAGGCCCTGAAATCCGCACAGCCGGAGGTCATCTCGTAACGCCTGCAGGAAT